CTAATTGTTTTAATCCTTCTCAAATAGTGTCATTCCCTGATGACTAAACATTCAAATGCAGGAGCCCATATGAGCCTTTCCCATTCCAATCACCATAAGTAATGAACTGGAGACAGAGAAAGATCTCTCAAGGAAGGAGAAAGAGAATACATTGTTGTTGAGAAACATGGGAGAGACTGAGTGGGACCATTATATGGGGAGGTGGATGGAGAAGAGGTGTAAGGGGTCAAATATTTGGTTTGGGAGTGTAACTAACACCCAGGACCATTTAGGGACCATATGGAAATCTGATACTGTAGAAGTGTCCTAAAATATATACATGTGTGGTTAAACTCTAAATGGAGTCATCAAATAACAGGGAAGACAATAATCCAACCACCATGTGAAACTTCTAGTACCTGGAATGGGTTACTTCTTGTTAAGTCATTGGCTAAAAGGGTTCCAGTGGAAACCCCCTAATACCACAGGCTATTTCTAAGGCCATTGGTTCTTCTCTACAAGCTGACGATAAGGTCATATTGCTGAAATATGTAACACTTACATATTTAATTAAACATGGAGAAATTGAGCCTGTTGCTTAACTAGCGGTTTCAACCCTACTGAGTAGGGCGTGTGGTACTAGAAGTTACTCTACCAGAGTATAAGGGTAATCATCAACCTAGTTGTTAACCTTGCAACCTGTAAGTAAATTTGTTGCAACTCTGTGGGTTTGGTCCCAGGGTTTGTCATCAAAATGTGAGTTCTGCAACTCTGGGGAAAGGTGTCCTGACTACTTGGGGAGTCAGGCAACACCTTGAGCTGCTTAGGATAGCTCTGACTGCTGGAGCTGCAAAGAGACAGTTCAGCCCTGAAGGGGTAGTTTTTCTGACTGCTTGGGAGAGTCAGGCCTGGAACTGCTTCAGCAGGAAAGGGTATCCTGACTCTTCGGGAAAGTCAGGCCTGGAGCTGCCAGGACAGCTCTGCAGGGAAGGGTATCCTGGTGTGATGGGGGATGGTCTCATTGCAGGATATTATAATCCTGCTCCTTTCCTGGAAAACTGCTACAGCTAGCTGAGCTTTGCTCAGCCCCCACTAAGGGGGCTTCCTAGCAGAGCTCTGCTTCTGTGGCCTAAGAAATTGCAGAAATGTAGCAATCTCCTCTGGCTCTGGAGAAAAGTGTTACTTTTTCAGCTCTTTCATCTCTCTCTTGCTCTGTCCACTGAGGGACGTCTCAGCAAGGATTTTTCTCTATGCCAGTGGATGAAGATCTTCACACCCAAAACTCTTTTGAGAAAGATTTATTTTGGAAGGAGGAGTCCAGGAGAGTAGCTACCTCTACCAGAGTGGAGAGAACAGCACTTTTTAACTGACCAGGCAGGGCAGTTTATATAGGATGTTTTGGGAGTGGAGTAAACCAGGAGTTGACTTAGGGCCCAGGGTTCTACTGTCCTGCTCTGTGATTGGTTGGTTTCACAAGTCAGTTGGCCAGGGGCAGAGATGGCTCTGATTTGAGCCAAACTGTGTTTCTTTCACTGGCCTTGTCTGAGCCATCTTTTCCTATTTCTGGGCTCCAGGGTCAGGGTGGGTTTCTTTAGCTAGTCCCCTTTCCCTATACAACCTACAACAGTGACCTGCCTGCAAGATATGCTGGTATAATAGTGGCACAAACATCGTGGGAGTAATCAACCACTTTCTGATTGGATTTAAGGCCCACTCCATGAGATGGAACCTATGACTGAGACTTCTAGGTTTGTCAAGAACTTGAGATTGGATAGGCCATGGGTTGACAGGACAACCAAATACTATTATTATGCTAAAATCACAGTGCAATCAATGACTCCTAATGACACAGATAAGTGCCTCACTCAGCCATCATCAGAGAAGTTCCTTCTTGCAGTAGATGGGAACTATCATAGAGACTCACACTGGATAATATGTAGCAAGTAAGAGACTTTGGAGGGCTCAGTCCTTAGTGGAATGTCTTTATCAAGTCCCTTCCCTTGAGGCTCAGGGATTTATGCATAGGAGGAGGCAAAAAGATTGTAAGAACCAAGTTTGAAGACTTCAAGGATACAATCTCTTCTATTCACACACAGGAGTGATACACATATGAACTCACAGAGACTGTGGCAACATACACATTTTCTGGACAGATTCAAGTTAGATAGACCCAAGCTCTGAGAGGGGAAAATGGACATGGATTCCCACCCTTAACCAAGAAGCTACCTGTAATGGATACCTGCTGGCAAAAAAGTATTTGTTTTTTCCAATGAAGTCTCAGTGGGTATATTAACTACACTTCAGTGTGAATCAATGCCTAGAAGTAGTTTACCAAAACAAATCAAACCCAAAGCTATATTTGTAGATTTTTTTGTCTCATATTGCTTTGTTTGGGATGTTTTTTTCCTTATTGAACTTTTGCTTGTATATTTTAGTTTCTGTTTTTGTGGGGGTATTTTTTGTGTGTTTCTTTTATTTTGTTTGTTAGTATTTATTTGTTTGATTTTTTTTTTTTCTAGATAGGGTTTCTCTGTGTAAGAGCTCTGGCTGTCCTGGAACTCACTATATAGATCAGGCTGGCCTCAAACTCAGAGATCCATCTGCCTCTGCCTCCCAAGTGCTGGGGTTAAAGGCGTGTGCCACCACTGCCTGGCTTTGATTTATTTATTTTTTTTTTAATTTTTTTTTTTGAGACAAGATTTCTCTATGCAGCTCTGTCCCAGAACTCACTCTGTAGATCAAGCTGGCCTTGAAAAGTTGGCTGGTTAGTACTATAATATTTTTGTCAGTATTGCTCCAGTCGGTATATAATGCAGGCAGGTCGTTATTGTAGGTTGCAGGGTTCATAACTGGGTAAGATCGATAATTACTTTTATTCTCTGGTACCCTTTCTGGTACCTTCCACCACTGTTAATGCTAATTAGTATACATGAAACATCTAGTTGAGCAATAACTGGATTTTTCCATGTTTAATTAATTACATAAATATGAGATATCTTCAGTAATAGGGTTTTACTGTCAGGTTGTCAAGGGTAACCAATAGCATTGTGAGTAGCCTATAATATTTACCTGTGTAGAGTATCTATTGTACCTGACTTTGGATATTTTAACGAGACTTTTAGATTATGGAATTTTTGAAGACTGGACTTTTAAAGTTGTACTATATTTTATTTTATGATATATGGCATCTTGGGGACAAACAAGAAAGGAAAATTATGGTTTAACAAGGATGTTTGTCAAGTTGTCAAGGAGTGGACTTGTGTTGGCTAATCTTGGTTGTCAAATTGATACAAATGGGAAGAAGTAATCTCAGTTTAAGAATTGGCCTAAACCGGGCGGTGGTGGCACACGCCTTTAATCCCAGCACTCGGGAGGTAGAGGCAGGCAGATCTTTGTGAGTTTGAGGCCAGCCTTGGTCTACAGAGCGAGATCCAGGAAAGGCGCAAAGCTACACAGAGAAACCCTGTATTGAAAAACCAAAACCAAACCAAACCAAACCAAACCAAACCAAACCAAACAACAACAACAACAAAAGAATTGGCCTAATTCAGATTGGCCTGTGAACATGTCTGTGGGGCATTTTCTTAACTACTATTTGATGTAGGAGTACCCAGCTTGGTATAGGTAGTACCATCCTTAGGTAAGTGGGCCTGAGCTTATAAATAAGGTAGGTGAACATAAGCTTGGAAGCCAGTGAGCAGTGTTTCTGTTTCTTTCTGCTTCAAGCTCCTGCCTTGAGTTTCTGCCCTGGCTTCCCTTAAAGATGGACTATAACATAAACTAAAATTCCTAAGTTGCTCCCTAAGTTGCTTTTGGTTATGATGTTATCAGAGCAACACTACAGCCTAAGTGTAACATTGCAGGACTGCACTAGAGCATGAGTCTAACTCTTTGGAATTTTTTTTTTTTAACAGTTGTCAACACCCGTGTTTGATGTTGGTTCTTAAAACGTTTGGTGTGATGTAACTGCTACCGTTTGTCTAGAAATTATTTCAATATTTAATACAAAGATTCATTGGGGGGTTTCCCCTTGAACACACTAAAGAGATCACAGATCTCTTTATTGGAGATCACAGATCTTTAAAAAGGCTTTTTAAGCTCTTGCGAAGGGCTGTCTTCGTCTCCTAAGCCCTCCCGAAGTTTTTCTTTGGCTTTTATTGTAGAATCAAGTGTCCCAGTGATCAGGAGGGGCCCATCTTCCCCCCCGCGGGACAGAAACCCAGCAGCGTCTCCACTATGGGGTCCTCTGTGACGCAGAGCGGAGTGCTGACGGAAGTGACGCGTGACGTCCTGCGTGCGGCGGCTGCGTCTGGTAGCAGGAGAAGATGGCGGTTTCCACAGGTCGGTTCGCGTCCCGGTCCTCCCCGCTGTCGCTGCTGGCTGGGCGGCCGCGCGGGGCTGCGGGTGCGCACTGTGGAGGGCCACGCGGGGCGCGGGGGGTAGGGCAGGCGGCGGGGAGGTCGGGCCCCGCGTGTGCGAGCCTGCGGTGACGGCGAGCCTGCGCGCCCACTGCCCGCGGGGGGCCCTGCGGGAGCACCGGCACACCAGGCCGCCGCAGCCGCGCTGGGGGAGGAATGTGCTGGGGCGGCCCCGCCTGGCGGCTGTCACTGCCCATCAGCGAGGCCCGGGCGGAGAGGCTTCCTGGATGGCGCTGGGGGGTCTCGGCTGGGATCCCACCTGACACGTGCGGGAGGACAGGACGAACAGGGAGGACGGCTGCTGTTTGGAATAAGGGAGCGATGGTTTCACTTAGTTGGCCAGATGCGTGCTATGTTTTTTATTTAAGTGAAAATCTACAGTACACTGCGGAAGACGAAAGCTAATTGCACAACAGTTGGTACTTAGATTAAGGGTTCCATTGCTGTTTACCGTGTTCGGTTTCCTATTAGCAGAGACTTGGAATTTAAGTGTTGATGGGATTTAGAAATTTAATGACTTAAAAAATGTTAACTTAAAACAGGTTAAAAGTGTGGAGTTTCAGCATTTAAAAATGATGGTTCATAAGATTTATTTTTTCTAGTTTTTATTGAATCTAGGTTGTAGAAATGGAAGAGGTTGAGTGGATATTGTGCTTGTTACATTTCAAGGTAATACCTTCATATACATTTTTCATATTGATTAAGTCTTATCTTCATGTGTATGAGTGTTATAGACAGTAAAATATTTAGCAGTTTGACCTCAGGGAAATACACAGTGTTTTTTTTTTTTTGTTTTGTTTTTGTTTTTGTCAGAGCTGACTAAGACCAAGGATTATTTTTAAAGTGACATTTTAATGTTATAACTCTTATTTCTTTACTTGTTATTTGAAATCTATGTTCTTATGAATGGGACCATGGTTTTAAAGAGTTGTGCTCAGTACTTTAAAATTTAAGTAATAAAATGGTGCATTGTAATATGAAAAATGTCTATTTGTGATTGCATCTGTTTATTGAAACACAATAACACTACTCTTATGAAAGAATGTTCATTATCTTGAAAAGACCAGCAATTAGATAATATGAGTGGCACATACTTTTTGTTAAACTGTTTTGTTCTTGGAAATTGAATGTATACTATAAATAAGCTTTGATGGATTATTTGTGTCTTTATTGTGTATTAGATACCTGTATCCTGTTTGTTATTTTCACTGATTTTTAGATAAATGAAATGGGAAACCTTTGGTATAATTAAAATACACTTTAGAAAATTGAGCTTATTTATTTATTTTTTTGAGTTAGGGTCTTATGTAGCCACGCTGGTCTTGGACTGTAACTGGAAAAAAGTTTGGAGGAAAATGATTCAAATTAGACTGAGAATTTCTGTTGAGAAAATTGAGAAACCAAAGAAGTAAAAGCTTATACATAACTAGTTAGGAATAGAAGCAAGAGTATAATCTATTACTCTCTCCATAATGAATACTCCATAATGAATAATGAATACTTTGGAGTATTCCTCAAAGGATGACCTTTATTCTGTTTTAGTCTAGTGACTTTCATATATTCCTTCCTAGATGAATTCTTCTTTTACACACTTAGTTCCTTCTCATGTAGAAGTGGGTCTGCAGTTTCCTCCTTTCCCCGTGAGTCAAGAGGATTTCATAGAACTTAGCTTAAACATTACTCAAGGGAAAGGATGTTTATTAATATTATTATCTGTAAAATTTCATTTGATTCAGTTATTGTAATTTACTGTGTAAAAAAGAAAGTTCTGTGTGCTCTGTGATAGTGTATACCTATAATCCCAGCACTGAGGTAGAGGGAGTGTGAGTTCCTGATGAATCTGGGCTGCATAATGCATTCAGGGTTAGCCTGAGCTAGATAGTAAAGTCTGCCTTAAAAGGAAACAAAAACTAAACACCCTTCTGTAATAGTTTTTGATTTATAGAAAAATTGTGATGATGGTGAGGTGTGCATATCTCACGTTCAGTTCTCTCCCTTTGATAACTTAGTGTAACACGTTTGTCAAAATTAATGACCTAATACATCAACATGTTTATTGTAAGTCCATACCATATTCATATTTTCAGTTTTTACTTAAGGTCCCCTTTTGGTATCAAGTACCCAATTTAGGTACCACATTACATTATAACATGAAATATTAAAAAAAAATCCCTTAGATTGTGTTAGTATTGTGATAGGACTGTAGTTTCCTTGAATGAAGATGCGTGGGAAACTTGGATGAGGGGGAATGAAAATTTTAACTTTATGTAGGTCGGTGTAAGGAAGGACAGGAAACAACCAAAGAAAAATAATTACCCTTTTCAGAAGTGGTAAGAGTTGTGTATACTAAAAAGACTAATGTGGTAGTATTCTGATTTCCCTACTGCTCTAGACTACTATGTTCTTTAGCCATGGCACTTAATCACTCATTCTTGTTTTCCTAATGTATGTATGCCAATGCTCACAAGTAGTACTGGAAGAGAATGACTTGAGCCTCAGAACTAAATGGTGGAAGAGTTGAACTCCAGTGTATTTCCCTCCTGAAACACTACTGGCCTAGTAGATTTTTCTTGATGTTCTTGATATACATATGTTCTTGATAAACTCTTGATACTGTGATCAAATAATACAGCCTCATCATACAGACAATCCTTTCTGTACAGAATGGTTTGAGGAAGTAAAAATGGCAATGAAACTTGTTCAAAGCAATTAGTTAAGTGAACAAGTTATTCTGAGATCTTTGAAAATGTCAAGACATTAAAAACTCTGGTTGACTACAAATGAGGGAAGTAGTAAAATTAATAGCGTAACTTAAACATTTTAAAGACATTACAGTTCATTTTTTGATGGAACACTTGCCAAATGTAATTAGAACACCACTCCTTCTTTTCTTCTAATTACGTAAGTTAGGATACAGAACAAGAAACTTCCTTTCTAAGATTTGGTGAGTAGGGGAATAGGTGAACACTTCTAAGTTGGATCATCTAGCAGTATTTTATCCTTTGTCCCCTCAGTGTTATGAACTATCTCAGATTCCTGTGTGGAAGTTTTTCAATACTATGACATAGTCCTTTGGATTTTTTGGGTACTGGGATTGAATTTAGGGCTTTTCATGTGTGCTAGGCAGATACTCTACCATAGTGCTATATTTGCAGCCCTCTTTTGACTTTTTAATTGGATACAGGGTACTGCTGAGTTGCCTAAACAGGCCTTGAACTTGTGATTCGCCTGTTTAAGCCTTCCAAATAGCTGAGGTTACAGGCCTGTAGCACCAGACCTATCTGAAATCATTCTTTTCTTAAAACCAGTTTTTCCATTTGTGTGGATGAAATAACTTGGAAGGTAGAGGTAGGAGAATCAGGATCTCAAGGTCATCATTGACTACATAGTGGGTTGTTTTTTGATGTTATTTTGTTTAGTTTGTGTGTGTGCATGCGCACATCATGGGATACAAGAGACCCTGTTTTACAAACCAAAACAAAGGGCTGAGAAGATGCTCAGTCAGTAAAGTGTCTTCCAGGAAGCATGGGGACCTGAGTTAAGATCTTCAGAACCTACATAAAGCTGGAGGGTGCAGCTAGTGTGCATCTGTAACCCAGTGCTTGGTGTGGTGTGGGCAAGACAGGTGGATTTCTAGAGCTTATTGGCTGGCTACCCTAACCAATCAGTAAGCTCCAAGTTTCATAGGAAACACTTGTCTTAAAAAGTGAACAAGCTGTTGAGGAAGACATTTAATATTGACCTCTGGCCTCCACATATACACACATGTACTTTATGTAATGATAGCATAATATGGTAGAGGAGGTTTGGAGTAGTTGGGGTTGGTGTTACTTACACTGTGCTAACGGAAGTTTATGCAGATGGGAACTATTCGTACCAAGGTTACCTAACTATGGAAACATTCACTTAGTAATTAATTTGGGAACTCTTAAACTAATAGATAGAAAATTGTTGACTAGAATAATAAGATTCATTGCTTGAGAACTAATGTAAAGTAAGCTTAAACTATATGGAAGATAGGGTGTCAGACCAGGTTTGGGAGTAGTGTATTGTTTACAGAGTTTTTGTTCATTGTGTGAGAATAAATGTTATTCTTAGTTTCAGTTGGAACCTAACAAAATCAAGACTACAGAAGAGAAATCTTTTTGTTATCTGTACTTTAAGGTCCTTAAACATGTTGAATAATAGTTGTAATGGACAGTACATTATGGCTCTGCTATCTTCTAAGCCAAGTTTATTTTGTAGATGAGAAGTAGAACTCTAGGCATGAAATGACTTTGTTGAGATTATTTAGATTATTCAACCATAAGCCAAACTTGAGTTACTGAACATGGGATGAGTAATACATAAACTTTCTTCCTAGCTCTTTCATTGACATCATTTTGTAAATAGTCCAGCGCTAGTGTCTTGAACATAGATTCTTTAATCTGTTTTGGCATCACTATGTTTCATGTATACTTTGATTTATTTTGTGCATATGCGGTGATGTGAGCCAGGTGTGGAGCCAGCTCATGCCTGGAATTCTACACTTGAAGCAAGAGAACTGCTGTAAATTTGAGGACAGCCTAGGCTACATAGTATTTTTCAGGTCAGGCTAGGCAACAGAGTGTAACTCTAAAAACATGGAAGCAGGAGGAAAATGGAAAGCTAGTGATATTACTTCATGAAGATAAAGATCTTTACCATGATAGAGATTAAAGACATTATAGATCATTAAAACTTTATCTTATATGGAGTGAAGTGATGTCTTTAAAATTTTTTAAAAATGGGCAGATTAGATGGCTCAGTGGTTAAGAACACTTGCTGAAGAGGACCCAGGTTTGGTTCTTAGCACCCATGTAGTAGCTTCCAGTCATCAGTAACTCTTATTCTAGGTAATCCCATGTCTTTTTTTGACTTCCACAGGTGCTAGACATACATGTAGTACATGTACATACATTTAAACAAAATACTTGTGCACATAAAACCTAATTAAAAAAAGGAAAATTGTTCATAGTGTCCAAATATTGTTTCACATTAGATTTTTTTGTAAGCATAAATTTGGCATTATAGCAAAATACAAATGTAATTGTTCTCTTAAGGATGACTAGAAATTATTTTCTCTTTGAAGTTATTTTGAGGAAAGGAGGGGAAAGAAGATTATTGATAATGTGTGAATGGTTGATACAAAGTCATTTTTATAGTGGGTCCTATATTCAATCTGATTTGTTAAGTCTTAAACCTTTCTTCCGTCATATCTGTTATTTGTAAAGTGGCCCTTTTTGGTGTGTGTGGGTGTGTTGCTGGGGATTGAACCCAAGTACTTGTGAGTGTTAGGCTCTCTGAGCTATATTATATGCTCATCCCCACTCCCCAGAACTAAACCTTTTAGAAATATTTCACTTACCCATTTTCCAAAATAGACCTTTAGAGAAGACTGTTGTCTTAGTGTTTTCTTGCTACCGTGACAAAGGCAACTTACAGGAGAAGGAGTTCAGTTGGGGCTTATGGTTTCAAGGGGCTAGAGTTTATGACCATCATGGTACCAGATAGTCAAGTGCAATGCAGTAGCTGAGAGCTTATATCTTACAAAGACACAGCCATGAGGCAGAGCAAGCACAGTGGTATGGTGCAAATCTTTTGAAACCTCAAAGCATTTCTCCAGTGATATATCTCCTTCAACAAGGTCA